AAGGCAGTCCAGCATTTAAATCTTGGAAGATATTACATGCTTTAGCTCATTCAAAGTCTGACGAAGGTGTCCAAACATGTTTTGCAATAGAAAAAACTAGCTCACTGAAACAGCCCGTTATTAACGAAACACCAAACCTGACACCATCTTCTGAATTGCGTTATGTGCATGTGCCAGTGTGAACTACCAAGCTCTTGATTGGTCGAGACAAAAATTTGTATTTTGAAACGTCAATGAATAAATGTCATTCAGCAAAATTTTGATGAAATTTACAAATTTATATTTTCATAAATATAGAATATATGTATTTTTACTAAATTAGAGGGAAACTTGAATGAGGTCAGGACTTTTCACGGTTTAACAAATAACAAGACCAAATTTTCGACTGAATTCACCATGTATAATGATGTCGGAAGATTTTACACTTGATAATATTTGATCCGGCACAGCTTTTTGTAATAAACACAACTTTAATATTCTCAAATGTATTTCCCTATAAATCTGAATGTGTTATGTGATAAACAACATTATAATTTCATTTACAAACTCTGTTTTCATAACAACAAAAATAAAGAAAATCAAAGCATTCCTGTGCAAAAACCAGTCGAAGCGTAACATAAAACTTTGGAAGTTGTATGAGACATCTGATGTTATTTTTCATGGTATTTAATAATTAAAATAATTTACCATAACACTGACGGCTAGATTAAAGAATACCCGTCCACTAGTAATTCTCTCATCTCGTAGAAAAACAGAAAATAAGTCCTGACCCTTATTTTCATATTGCCAAAGAAATTCTGCTAGGTGAGAGGAAAAGGCAATCTTGGGCTTCCTAGCATTTTTAGCCTATTAAGGTTATTTCTCGAAGCCTGTGCCTATCATTTATATTATTTATAACTGTAATTTCACTATGTAAATTGATTCAAGGTACAAATAAATTGTTTCTTCTTTTTCACTCCAAAGGATGGTAATTTACATTTCGCTTGCCTCCAGTGTCCTTCTATTTTATCAGTATGAAATCCTTCAGTGTTCACAAATTCTTTAGAATGATTCACCACCAATGTTCGTAGCCATATTTTTCAAAATTAATATAAGCTTTCCAACAATCTGAAACTATGGATGTTTCCTTCGCAATGTTTTGGAGAATTATTGGTAAAAGAGTTGCTTCATCTCGTTTCTCTACCACTGCCATAAAACTTTTTCTAGAATCTTCTTCAATTCCTCCAAACACCCACTGTCCTTCCACGCAATGGCTGCGGTGGTATTTCTTCTTTCCGAATTTACTCTCATCAATCTGCACAACCTTGCCTGGCCTGCCAATTTGCCTTATCCATTTATTTCTACAGATGCTTGCAGTCTCACCTTCAGCAAAATTCCAACATCACACTTCACTAAAGACTAAAGATTGACACCCTGTTATCACGCCGGAAATTCTATCTCACAATGCAGCTTTCGTTCGACACTTATATTTATAATTCGATAGTCATTAGTCTCCTTTTTTAGTCGCTAAGTTTTTAAGATTGATACTCGCTACCAAACAGTCCGCGTTTCTTGTATGGCCTGAGATCTACGATGTTTTGAATAAGCTACTGAAAAATGACAACAAAAACACTAGTGGTGATGCCATGTTGTTATTCATATCCACTTTCGTTTCAGTTCATTAAAGCCATAACACATGCCCGTGATGCACCAAGACTAAAACCAACAACTGCAGATGTGAAAACGGCCATACTCCTTTTTCCTGGACCTGTTGTGACATCAATGCTTCCGACAATGTGCACCTAGGTATGTTGGTGGCTCAACGAAGAAGGAATATGATAATGCAGTTGAACAACTCAAGCAACACTTGGGCTCAAGTGTCTCACGGAAGTATTTATCAAAAAGACACCCAATTTGTCAACACCGTGGCTCTATTCTTACTTCTGTGAGTTTTTGAACTTCGCAGACAAATTTGCCTTGCCTATTCACAAGTCAATTTCAAAAAATATAAAGGATTTTCTTTTACGGCAAGATTTAATTACACAAGAACAGTATGATCTTTAAGAAACTTTACTATAAAACTTTTTGCATGCATTTGTATACAATATCTTTAAAATTACCATTGTTATAAAAAATGTTTTTAGTGTGCTCAACCAATTCTCACCAAAAATTATTGGATACAGCTATCAAGGAATGTTTTGCAGGTATTAACATTATGGCTGTGAGTATGCAAGTTTAAATATATTTAATAACAAAATTTGCTTTGGAATATTTTAGGCATGCACTTGCTGTAATCCATTTCAATAATAATCTGCATTGGAGGAACAGAATGAAGGATGCCATTGAACAACTTCATGTTGTATACCCAAAATTAAAAAATGGAGAGGCTTTTGTTAGGAATGTAAAAGTGAAGCAAAACTTTGGTATGTACATTTTATCACATTCTACTTTTAACACTACACAGCAATTCATACAAGTAGAAAGATATCTATTTTGCACTCCCATAATAATTATGCAAATAATTATATTATATAATTGCCTTTCTTGAAGATTATGTAAATGAAATATATTATACAATGATTGATGCAATCTTGAACAAAAAACTGAAGAAGGCAATCGAAGAGTTACAAGGTTCAACACCACCACCAATAAACAAAATGCTTGACAAGCAGCCACATGCTGAGGCTATTGACAAAAAGAAAATAAGGAAAAACATGCCCATTGTTACAGTCGATTTCACATCACATCAAATATTCCGAAGTTTGCCAATGAACTTCCAACTTTGGTAACGAACTTCCTTCTAAATTTCCGAACTTCAAAATGAACTTCCGAACTTCAAAGTGCACGAAATTCAACCTTCTACGAGGACAGGTTTTGGCGCGGTAAATTCAAAATTCGCTCTTCAAGTTTTAAGATTCCGTACTGTACATGGCTGTAAATCCTTTTACAAAACAAGGGCAAGCTCTTCCAATAGAAGTAAGGAACAGAATAATATTTCTTTGGCATGAAGGCCAAAGCCCGTCTCAAATAGGGTTTAATTTAAACCTTAAACAACAAACTGTTAGCAACATAATAAACAATTTTGCTACTTGGGGGAGTGCAGAGGCTCTTAAAGGTCGCCGTCAACAAAGAGATTCAAGAACTGACGATGTTTGTGTACACATAGAATTCTGCAAGCAAGCACGACCTAGTATGTATGCGAAAGAAATTCAACAATCATTGGTGGAGAATAACATATGTTTACCGCAAAATGTGCCTTCCCAGTCATCTGTAAGTCGATGTGTAAAGTCTGATTTGGGCTATTCCTATAAGAGACTGAAAGTAATTCCGAGAGAATCGCTTACTGCACAAGCACAGGACTTGCTGGAGAATTATTTAGCCGCGCTATGTGGTGTAAACATCAGAACAATGCATTTCTTTGATGAATGTTCAGTTGTTAAGACAACTGGGAATAGACATTATGGTCATTCTTGTCTCGGAACAAGAGCACTTGAGGTCCAACGATATGCGAGTAATGCGACTTGCTCCATAATGTGTACGGAGTAGGCCATGTGAACATTTTACCTGGTCCATCTAATGGCCTCGAACTCTTAAACTTTTTTGCTGAAGCGATCGAGGAAGAGGACTTTTATGGCAACCCAATTTTGAAAGACGGCGACACAATTGTAATGGATAATTGTGGATTCCACCACGCTCGGCATGTAGAACCTGTTTTAAGGCATATGCTAGAGGATCGTGGACTTAGACTAATTTATCAGCCACCTTATCACCCGGAGTACAACACTTGTGAAATGTATTTCAGGCACCTTAAGGGAGTTCTTCGCAAACACAGTAGACTTGCAGTGGAACATACTGAAATAGCGATTCTCCACGGTCTCAGTGAAATTACGGACTCTATGTCTCGAAACTTTTTCAAATACTGCGGATATACTGACGATTGAAAGATATATATGAGCACAATGTTTAAATGTTGCGTTTATTAGGTTTTCCCTGAAAGTAAGGCCAACGTTATAGAGAAGAGATGAGACTGCAAAGCAACAATTATTTTTCCTCTATAATACAAATAAAAAACCCAACAAATTGATTTCTCTGGAGGAAGGCTACACCTTTTTCAGAAAGTGGACACAGACCAAAATTACCCGACCTGTTGATAGTCCAAATATAATATAGAATGTAGTTATGATATGTTATATTATCCAGTGCAATAATATCAAAACCTAACACAACTCTAAAGGTGGATTTCCACTTGCAACGAAATAGCTTGCTAGCAAAATATTTTCATATTTCCTTTTGAATTCTACCAACATAAATAAATTAGTGCAACTTGACTGTTCTCAAATAAAAAGATAATTATACAGATATTTTTTTAGCAAACTATTTTGCAGCAAGTAGAAATCCACCTTTTTACTGTTACTTACACATGTATAGTTTAGAAAAAGTTGTCTTACATGTTACATTGTAATAAGATATAAATCATCCTTTCTGCATCCAATGTTTATCTTTTTAAGAATTTTCACAGGGCAACCTCAAAATTGGCTGTATTAAGATTACAAAAATATAATATCAAAATACGAGACCTCTTATACATATAAATGTTGAAATATAAGTTCCTCGAACATTAAAAATATGAGTCCAAAGCTCATGACTTGTAATACTCACATTGCCTTCCTCAATATCTATGATTACATGTTTGTTACATATTTATGTTTGTTACAGCAATTATTGAATTTCATTTGCCACATTGACAAGTGTATCCAATCCTGACCACTTTTCTGGTGAATTCACATTTATGACGGTTGTTATGCTTGAATCAGTAGTTGTCATGAGCTGGTTTGAGTTTGGCAAAGGAATGGCTGTGTCATAATGTAAAACTTGCAAAACTGTTGAATTATCTGTAACTGTATTTGTATTTTCGAACACTTGAGGAGATTTGTGGGGAGGTAAATGGCCGTGAACAGGGTATGGTGTTGCACATGTTGAAATGTATCTTGCAGAGAGGTACTCTGGCATGTAGTTATACCCTAGATGTGGAATGTTGCTGCTAGCAGGGTTAAATCCAAATGGCGGGAAAAACTAGCAGAATAATTAGTAAAGCGATCAAAATGCGCGGGTCGTTTCTTAATAATGAAATCTTCATTGACACCGTCAGAGCTTGAACTAGATGAATATCTATGTCGCTTTTTTCTTTTGTGTTTTTTATGTCGCTTTTTATCACGCTTTTTATTTTTCTTTTGTTTTTCCTCCGACGGCAGTACACTGCTTTTCCCAGACGGACAATTCTCTCGTTGCATTTCTTTGTCATTTTCATTGGCACTGTAGGTGTTTTTCACTGGTGACATTGGCAGTTTGTCTGCCATCATTTTGGCGTGGTCACGACTGTCAGTAATATCGGGTGCATCAATATCCAAGTCGAAACTTTTTTTGCATTTGCTAATTAGGATACGCAGTTGCTCAGGATCATTGACAGAGACTGGAGGGATCTTGCCATCAAGACATTTGCGTAACATACGAATGTCGCGCATAAGCTTTGGTTTGTTTAGTTTGTAACTCTGGTCTAATTTATAGAGTCGCGGTGTTAGGTTTTTTATGAAATGATACTCACTGTTGGAAGTAAAATCTTCCATTGACTGTATTTGCGATTCAAGCTCTTTCACCGTGTTAGCCTTTCTCTTTAAATCAGCTTTCAAGCCATTAAGTCTTGAGAAATATTCAGGGTGCTTATCCTTAACGCCACAGCTGGTATAGTCGACACATTTTGGCAAAACGCACAGTTTGCTTTGTTGATTTCAATGACCTCTAGTATGGCAGTTACTACAGATTAATCGCGAATTTCCCACCATAGGCTTTTCTTTTACATTTTCATTCATAGATTGTATTGTAATTTCAATTTCATTGTAATCATCTCTCTCTTGCCAATTGTGCCTTTAAGTTATTAACTTGCTTTTCAAAAGCAGGTAAAACCGCCTAAATATAGATTTGAACGGTAGATATTTTTCGATGTTTATTCGTCATTTTAAATCAAGATTGCTAACTTACGTATCTTTTCAATGTCAGTGTCAGTGAATAACTGGCCACATGTTCATATTTAGACAGTATTTAGCTAAATTTAGACGGAAATGCTTAGCTGGGCGTAAATTATATATAGTGACACGTTATTACCATTGCTGAAAAGCGTTATTTCATATTCACTGTGATATTTACTTCTAGTCTCTCATTCTATTTGATTGCTTAATATTTGAGCACATGAATTTTTGAACTTACTTTGCGTGCGGTCGATGGGTGCGGTTCAACGGATTCGTTTTCATACTCATCTTTGTCGACATTTTGATTTGAATTTTCGCTTTCGTATTGTGGTATACGCTTGCGAGTCAAAGGGAGTGGAGATTCGTTCCTTAATTTTTCCAGTTGATACAATAAGAACGCTTTTGCTCCCAAAGGCAATTCGTCTGCAGTAAACATGATGTCAATGTCTTTAGGGAAAAGCAACTTCAGTTGGGTTCTTGTCATGAAATGATTGTCTTTTAATCTTGCAAAAAATTTTTCGAATGACGGTTGATCAAGTTCGTTTTGAAATTCGGACATCCAACTAACGAGCTGTGGACTTGCCATTTTGAACCCCACTTGAATCTTTGTCTCTCTTATATGCGAACTATTATATGGTAGTAATGGTACGAACCCGCCAAAAGACGCGTGTAATATGCCGGAAGTTGTGAAATCTGAATTTCGTGCACTTTGAAGTTCGGAAGTTCATTTTGAAGTTCGGAAATTTAGAAGGAAGTTTGTTACCAAAGTTGGAAGTTCATCGGCAAACTTCGGAACGAACTTCGGAATATTTTGGCAAAAGTGATGTGAAATCGACTGTAATGTGCGACCAACAAATCCTGGTTAGTTGCCTTACTTGCTCTAGTAGCCTTATATTCAATGCTAAGTTTAACGTAAATTAGCATGATGCAATTATCATACACTTATGATTTGTACTACAGCTGTTGCCATCACTCCTTAACATGTAAACATACAGTATCATTATTATTGTTTTTTGCATTTTAGTACCTACTGTTGTGATTCCAAATCCTGGTGATAGCACTGCACAAAACAAGCCAAAGAGCAAAGCATGCAAACAACCAATGAAAAGCCAAAGATGTTAAAGATTGCCCCAAGAACCAAAATAAATAATTTTGTAAAAGGGCAGGGTTCAATTGTAAAATATATTATTATCCAAGTTCAAGGTGCCTTAACAAAACATTGATAATGTATCTGCTATTAAATTCCCACATATATATTTACAGCAAATTTATTCCTCTTCCTCCAGATCTTCACCACACGAAGAAACCTAAAAACACATTAGTCATATAGGGTTATGTATTTACTTTTTAGGGAACCTGCAGTACTGCAGTAGAGAATAGGGTTGTAGGGATAGTAGGAATACATGCATGCAGCAACCCCTCGCTATTTCAAACAAAGTACACAATTTCCTGAGTTAACCTGACTTAAACTTATATTATGAAATGACACAAAACTCAAATCAGTCTTATTATATTTTACCGAGTGTATTATAGCTAATGTTTCCATCATTCAATACAAAACTGATAATCATAAAGCTAGTCATAAAGCTAGTGTAAACATTGCCCGTTCAATTTTGCTGCATTATACCATGCCAGCAATTAAGTAACGGTTTAAAATCATAGTTTCAAACGATTAAAACAGTACAAAATCTAGCAGACAAAGAAAAAACTTCAAATGTTATTTTACTCTGTATTATGCAGTCGACGCCGACGACAAGTTGATTAAATTATCTCAGAAAAATAATATTTTAAGTGGATACTAACCTATTCTTTGAACTAACTTGTCGATATTTTTGTCCAGTACGCGTTTTAAAATTATCTGCAGCTAGTTCCAAAGACCATCTGTTGAGACAAATTGCATCGAATCCAGGGTGATTTGTAATACACGTTTGTTGAGTGTTCGTAGCATCATCATCAGATAGATGACTCACAAACACAAACAGATCTATAGTCAATGACAATGCATCGGCACAGTTTGGAATTTCAGTGCGACAGTGACACTCCTTCGCCTGTACTAAATTTTCGGTATTGCAGTTACCACGATTGCACCTAAAAAAGATACACTGTCAGTATGCTTCAGTTGTCTTTTGAAAAATATACATGCCAATATGGCAACCACACAATATCTTAACATAGAAAATTGTTTGATTATCTTACCAAGAACTCACTGGGTTTTTTCCTCTCAGACAAAGACTTAATTCTTCAATTTCCCTGGCATGCTGTTCTTGTTTTTGAATATATTCTTTAACCCAGGAATCATCAGCTGAAGCCTTATCAGTGTATGCTATAACATCCTCATTGTTAAGTAGTTCCTCCTCAACGTCTTTGGACGCCGTTTCATATGTTCCATCCTCAATTTCATACTCAGGGCAACTGTAAGAGCCCTCGTCAGAGCCAGATAAAGACTCTTAAGCCAGACATAACAATTTATTTTGAAATATTTTGCATTTTTGTCAGCCGCTAACCAAAAACTTTAGTTGATTTTATAGTATTTGACCAAAGACCGGTTCCTGAGTCCCAGCCTCCTGAGCAACACACCTTTTTTGCAAAAACGCCCTGTTTGAAACCCGATATCTTGGAAACTATTGTTTTATATCAAAAAGGATCTATACTTTATAAATTAACTTTTTACGCTTCTTCCAAATCCGTAAAGATGCCACAGTGATATAGGCACTTTAAAATCGTCTAATCTATCTAAGTAGATTTTTCCTTGAGGTTGATATAGGCACTTTAACAAATGAATAATGATCAACAAATAGAGATTCCAGGTATATCCGCATTCAGCATTTATATTACACATGTTATATAGCATTTACTGTACACTATGGTTTGATTTATATATTTTTTATGCAGATGATATCCTGAACAACATGAGACTGTGCACTTCTTGGAGTTCTGTCGCTAAAATTATCTGAATGAAATTCTGTGTATGGCACAATTATTTACCATAAATTGAAAGATCTAGTGCAATCCATTCTGAGCCCTCACATATATTGGAGCCCTTGTTGTTCAACTATTGTAAGTTTTATATTCTTGTAAAGCCTGATCTATAGTAAGGTTGATAAGCCTATAGTATTTTGATAATTTATTTTCAATTCCATTTATAAAGTTTATTATATAGATACATAAATGTAAACAATTAGCCTTTCTCACAATGACGTTTTTGGGGTACTTTCAGTTTTCTCAAATGTGTTTAAAAAATTAAAACAACATGAAAAGCAATTTTTTTAGAATCAATGCACCATTTGTGGAGGATTATTCACATCGAAAGGGAAGAGTATGTGCTTTATAAAATTTTGTCAACCAACTTGTATACTCTACAGCAGGCACATGTAGCAAATGATGAAATTATTTTGGCTGCAAGTAGCAGTGTAGATTACAAGTGAATTTCTGAGTTCATTTGAACAATGTAAAAATTTATTTAAAGGCTGGGCAGATAAATACATCAACATTTGGGAGTTTGTTTAGAGAGTGGAAGTATTGCAGGTATGAGTTGGATCAGTATATGAGAAAAAACTTTCTGGAGTGTCCTTCATGTAACCCAAGTCAACATTCTGCTCATGTTGATGGTAATATGAAGCTTTATCATTTCAGGTCAGCTGGAATGTAAGTTATTGTTTGTTACAGTATAGGTAAATATTTACTTTGAAGATTTGCTTTGAAGGTGTTCAATATTATTAATGCACCTGTCAACAGCCCGCCCTGGGGGTACAACCCTTGGACTTTGTAAAAACAAGTTCTTCGTTTCCCCTTGCCCAAGCTTGGATACAAATGCCCTTACCCCCAGGGCAAAGAGAGACATGAAATTTTTGAAGCAGATTTTAAATGGTTATTTTATTGGAACATATATAAATACCACTGTGATTCCAAACAAAAAGTCGAAATATAAATGGTAACAAGGTAAGACAATTTTTTTATATTGCATATGAATAATAGAATATACAAGACAGAATACTGATATCAACTGACTATGTCTATAAGCAAAATGCTATGCTTATTTACACAACATGCTAATGTACACTAACAACATCAACCACACTAATGTAAACTTCTGCAGCTGCATCCAGATTTTTTTCAGCTTCTCTTTTTTAATCTTTCCCAGTGCATCCATATTAGAACCATTAATGGTGGACGGAATAAAAAAATTCACATGACCAACAGGAAGGCAGCCGTTTTGTAACTCTACTTTATTTAAATAATTTCCACCAGAAAAGCGTGAAGTAACCATTGTGCAGACTTTTTCTTTATTAACATGGCATTCTGTCCAAACAAACTGGACCTACATGACTGGGACCTTCATCGACCCCACCATCGACTCTAATACAGTCAATTGATTTTCTCGAGAAGAAATGGCTGTGACACAGAGTTCGTCTCGAACTTTTTCAAATCTGCAGCATGCTGAGAAGGGTTTTTTGGGAAAATTATGTGTGGTTTAACAGCCCCAAAGCGGAGTAGTGGAGTATTACCTGTTTCTAGAAACACATATGAACTTGTCTGAAAGACTGATGAATACTTTTTAAGGTAGGCTCTTCGTGTAGTAAGCTCAGGATTTCCTTTTTCAC